AAAATAGGATATTTCTGATGATCTACAAATGTAACATTGTTTCAGCCAGATAATGAATTTCTGGTGAATACTTTTGACTGAATATTTGGCTAATAAATAGTTTATATATTTACTTAAACAAATAGCTTCATTCATTTCACATTACACTGAAAACAATGGGACATACAAGTAAACATAAGTTTTGGGTAAAATTATAGAATGGTGTGCTCTGTCTTGTGTCTACGGCTGTCATTAATATTTTTCTACAAAGGCTAAAAAAATTTATGAATAGTCTAGTTTTGTTTCAGTTTGTCCAATTCTTCTTTAACTCAACCTGTAGTATGTATGTCTTGCAGTATATGCAAATTATAACATGCTAGAAGGCATTGTCTTAGCAATTAGCTAGTGAACAAGACATGCACAGCCTTGTCACTTGCAGAGCACAATTGATCTCTGAAATTGTTAGTAAGGGAAAGCAGCTTCTACATATACTATTGTAAAGCACAATCACCTGAAAAATAAGAATGCTCAAAAATATGAGGATGTACAATAATATATGAAGTTTACTGAGTCTAATATGGAAGGTGAATTTACCAAACAACAAACTAACCAGGCTTTGTACGAAAAAAAGAAGCTATAGGACATTAAGTGATCACCATGTTAAAAGAGTTATACTATGCAGTCAGTGAAATGGTTGCATTGATTAACCAATTTTAATCAACTGTTAATGATGATGGGTTTGTTCATTTGATGGAGAAAACCATAATATGTATTACCAAACAAAACTTATTTTTCTTCTTAAAAAATTATCTCGGATTTGCTACTATGCATAAATTAGAAAGAGCCATTCAGTCTCCTGTTCAAAAGGTTACAAAATGTAGTAATAATGTCAATTTAAAAACCATACTTATTTAAATACCTTCCAGTCATGTGTTTGGTATAAATTAATTCTAAAGAATGGGACAGAAGAATTTCAGAACTGAAAAACAGTCATGTTTCTAGGACTTAATAGCTTTTATATCTTGTAATGTTGTGGCTAGTACATTGATGTTCAACATCAAATGGGTAAATTTTCTTTTGTTACAGTATTAAAAGAGCATTTGTCTTTGATCAGTAGAGTTAAGTTATTATTTGTTTTTGTACAAACTAGATAAGATTTTCTTCAATCTCTGACTAATAAGACTGTTTTACTTTCAAATATGAAATATGGCTCTAAGACACTCAGTTTCTGAGGAAGTAGGATATATCTCAATAATTTTGTATAAAGAGGGCTACAGTCAGTGGAAAAGTTCTGCAAAAATGAAAGTATCATGAATTGGATCTTAAAACAATAAAAGATGCAATGAAACATACCACTGATGACAAGAGCAGGAGTGGAAGACCACCTAAGCTTTTCCAATCAGATGTTCAGTACCTTAGGCTAACTTGAAAGACAGACATAAATATATCAGCTGCCTTGCTGCATAACTTCAAGAAACCACTGGTTTTAAAATTGATCCTATGGCAGTATGATGCACATCATATCAAGAAGGCTTAAAAGTTTCACTGTGACAAGAAAACCTTTGTTCATGAATGGCAACAAACAGAAAAGACTTAAGTCAACAAAAAATGGGAAAATCTGTATCTGTAGAGAAGAATACTTTGGTTTTATAAGTCAAAGTTTCAGGTTTTTGGAATTAATAGACACTAATACACTTGTTACAGGAATCATGAGAGATTAAAACTTTTCCTATGGACATCTTTTTCTGCACATGTCATGATGTTTTACTGAGTTACGTTCAAACTTTAATTAAAGTACTTTATAATCATGGTATATGAATAAACTTGGAATCAAAACATAGCTAATAATCCAAATATTAATGTTATACAAGTTTTAAGATCTTAATTTTATGATGCAATGTTAACAAAAATCCTCAATTTCCCCTAGTATGAGAATTGACATTTGCACTCTTCAAAAAGTACAGAATTGAATGTAAATTACTCACTATAATATTGTTATTACTTAGGCAAAGCATAATTTTTTATAGTGTTCAATCTTATTTGTTTAAGGAGTAATAAATTAGAAAATCTGCTCCCTCCTATCACATCGTCTTTTTCATAAATTACCAATAGTTCTCTCTGACATTTAATACAATATTATTTATAACTAATAGAAAGACAAGGTTTTAATATATGAAATGGTGTATTATATTTTGTTGTTTTTTGTACAGATAATTGTCTATTTTTGTTTCCAGTTCAAACTTTATTGCCACAAGAAACACATTGACAAGATGGGAATATTAGTTAGACATGGTTCAAAGGGCAATAAAATAATAAAATTTAAGTATAAACAGGTGTATACTGTTATAAGTTTAAAGCAAGATAGGATAAACAAATATAGTTTTCACATAAAAATTTGAAGTAATTATAGAAAGAGTAAAAGGTAATTAATTTTTTTTGGGGTGGTTACGAGGTCGATCAAATTTATCAACCTTCTATAGAGTTAGGGTACAGAAAATAACAGATATAGTATAAAGTTTTGCTGGCAAAAACATCTGAAATATATTTAGAAGGTTTTTGAGATTATGCAAATAAAGCTTGAACTTTTCAGATGAAAAAAGTATTTTTAATCTTAACATGAAAATCACTTTACGTTCATAGCAGTCAACGCTTTGACTCCTTATCTTCATCGAAAAATTTTCAGTAAAAATACTTCATTAAAAATTCAGAATTTGTGTGTGCAACTGAATCTTAATGATTATTGAAAGCTTGCAAAATTTTGTGAAAAAACACAAAACAGAAGTTATAGTATGGAAACTATAAAGGTCAATTTGAGGTCACAAATTCTGCCGATTAAGCTGAGTTCGTAATGAAAGAATTAAAGGAAAATGACCTGCAACCTCCAGCCTAATTTTGCCCAATATATGCAGATACCCATTCACAATGCTGTTTCTTCTGGATATTGTTTGGTGGTAGAAAATTTCATTTTTCAACATCATAATGATCTCAAACATACTGGCATTTAATGAAACAGAATCTTTATAGGAATAAAGATGAGCAAACCCTTTAATGCTTAAGGTGACCTCCACAAAGCCCAGACCCCAATATTGATTGTTTATGTATGTGAGAGGGGTTGTCATGATCAATAAAAGCAACAGAATCAACCAAATCAAATAAGGAATTCTGGATAGTACTTCAAGATGCTCAGAATTCATTTCTCAATGATTATCTCTAAAAGCTTGAATAAAGTATTGATTTCAACTGTTAGTGGTGGTAAAAAATATTAAATTAATGAAATAGCTTAATTTGTTTTGTTTTTTTTCTCTTCAGATACTGTGAAGTACTGAAATACTTACACTAAAAGGAACTCTGTGTGTTTTAAATTTAAAATACATAGTAGTTATTGTAATTTACACCAAGTATTGTGTGTGTATATGAAGGGTGTAAGATTTTAACTGCTAGTCAGATTTTGAAGGTTAATTTCATTCCTTTAACATTTGGTATTTGATCACGTTCAACAACAAATAAAATACAAACTTACAATAAGCTGTTCTTAATTTCAAGCATTTTCCTTGAAGTAGTGCTGGTGATGCAATAGGAAAAACATTGAAAGATCTAATGAATATATGGGGGAATAAAAATTAAGAATATTTACCTTGTAATAAGGAACAAAGGTACAAATACTAAGGTTCTAATAATACTGGATTATCAAGTGAATTGTTTCCTCATCACATTGCATCTTGTGATAATGAAGGCTTTGAACTTTTAACAGTTAGTAGAGAGATTGTTATACATATTAAACTATTTTCTCTTGCATATTCAAAATTAATAGCTTTACAAAATGATTTAAACATATTTCATAAACAATTTGTAGAAGGTGTAAAGACAAGATGTAGTTCATGATACCATCTCCTTTGAAGACTTTTTAAACAATAAAGAGCAATATGCCTCAATGCAGCTGACATCATAACCGTTCCCAACAATTATCTGAAATTTTAAAAATGTCTTTACAACTGTTTGACAAAGTTAATAACTTTAAGTATCCCAGCTGTGGCTTCTTTATCACAGCTGTTTGTTGAAGAATAACTCAAGCCACTTTGGACTGAGAACAAAGAAAGCATCCTTGAGAGAACTTCAAACAATCCATATTTCACCTTACTTATATTTTTGTATTCTTGGTTTAAAGCAGAATTTTTCAGAGAAACAGTAAAATAGAATTTCAACTGATGGAGGAAACAATAACACTGTTATTCTCACAATCAAATATGGATGATTATTGAAATAATAGAAATGAGATAGATGACTTCACCATTAGCACCATCACCTTAAAAGTTGGCAAGATACACGACTCACTGAAATTGGGATAGTGAAATATCTCGAGACACTTCTAACATTAATAATGTTGGTCAAACAACTCATGTCAAAGAAGTTGCTGTCACTAGTGGCATTGATTTCTATATATTTCTACTACTTTTAAAGTGGCATTAATCCATTATTGTGGTGGAAACTGAAGAAAGGCACATTTCCTATACTATTTTAATTAGTACAAAGGTTCCTATCAGTCCCAGTGAGAAGTTTGTATAGTAAGTTCCTTTTCTCTGATGCTGGCAAAATTTATGAGGCATAGATAAACTGGTTTCTTCTGTGGTACATAACAATACCATGCAGTTCCTACCTTTTTATTTTGATATAATAGTATTTTTCAGAATTAGTTAGTTATTCTGATGAGTGCAGTTTTATAGCTGGGGAATTAGTGGAATTTGATAATTGATTAATCATCAGGCTCATTTATCAGTTATATTAAAATAATTGATTATTTTTGCATGAGACTTTGATAGTTGGTATAATCAAAAATAGTAATAATTGGAAACAAATTTTGATTAGTTGATTATTTTTCTGAGTCATGATACTAATCAGTTAAGCTGAACAACCTTGAATTAATTGAAAATAATTATGAGAAATCATGATAATAACTGTAATATTAGTATGAAAACAATAAGTATATGTAATTTGGAATATTGATTTTTTTGTATGTGGTCCAGGCTGATCTCTCATCAGATTCTGAAATATTTACAACACCTCAGTCTACGCCAGTATCAATTCCAACATTACAAGCATCTTCCAGTGAACAGATACAAAGACGACCATCTTTATATGGAGAAGCTCAGCAAATACAGCCAAACTTCATTTATCAAACTTCTAGGCCCCACTATATGCCGCAATCTGATATTGAAAGTGAAGTGGAACCTGATATTTCTACTCTTAACTTGGATGGTGTTTCTAAAGAGCAGCTATATGCAGCCATTCATAAGGTCCAAGCACGTCTCCAAAAATACAGAAATAAGTATACCGAATTAGTTAAAGCTTACAGAGGTGTTGATGCTGAAAAAGAAAAGATAAAGGTGAGTACTGAATACTTTGATGTGTAATCTTTTTTTTTTTCAGAAAAGTTTTGATATAAATATTGACTGGTCATAACTGTCTGTAGGCTAGGTATATCTAATAAATCAAGAATGTTTTCATTCTCATCTCTCATCAGTAATGTTTATGAGAATGAAGAATTTCTCAGATGTATTTCCCAAGGCTAGAGCACATTGAGAATTTTGTTTTTAGAACTGGTATTATTTTCAAGGATAGTACATTTTTTGCAAAATATTTATGACAGAAAGTATTTTAGTGAAGGTTATTTTGTTTTAAAATATAAAGAAAGAAAATGTTTTCTTGTCAGTAAGGAATTAAAAGAGTTAATATTTAGCACTGTATGAAGCAGTTGCCTAAAATTTGTATATGAATGTAAATTATTTTAAAAAGTGTATGTGTTTATATCGCAATACTGTTATCAGTCATGGTTGTCAACTTATTGTCATAACGGATAACGTCTTCAATAATAGCACTCAAATGCATTGGGGATATCCCATCTATCAGACAATATCCAAACGCCAATGTCAATCTAGTCACCTGTCATGGAAAATCATAAAAAAAAAGAATCATTAGTCAAGTAAGAGTACGAAGCTGAGTGCTTACACTCACAATGTCTCAGCTTCTACTGCCTTTCACTGTCTGTAGCCAGTTGTGGGAAGGCAGTTATCCTTAAATTTCCTAAAGTAGAAATGAATTGAAATAAAGCCACCCTAATATTTCAACTAATTAAACTCCCAACCTCCACCCTTACAAAAATATATTAAATAGAACTATAAAAGATTAAATAGAATTAAATAGGACACTAAGATATTAAATAGATGCCTGCCTTAATAAAAGTTCTTATATAGTTCTAACTCCCAACCTCTTCCCTTTCTCCTGAAGATTTATTCAAGTACAACACAGGAACTTGGAGACAAGCCCAGCTACTTGAAATTAGTCTTTCTATCTCAGTTATACTGAATAAAATTACTAGAAAAATTATTATTTTATTAATTCCATAAAAAATCAATTAAGAACTTTAAACTTATCTTGTTATAAATTAGAAATTT